AAAATATTCAAAATAGATTCATGGTATAAATAGATAATAATGTCTTAAAATAAGTCAAAAATGTAATTGTATAAAATAAAATTCATATGATATGATATACCTAAAAGTTCCTACGAATAATGTTTTTAAATTAAAACAAAATAATTTAAATGGTTATTTATCTTTAAGCAAATAATTTTGTGAAAATTTTAACTTAAAATGTATATAAAAAAACAATTGTGCTTATGTGTTTTTGATATTTTTGTACAGATATAAATGAAACTTATGTGGAATCTTTTATTAAATTTAAAAGAATTTGGTCTCAATAAATGATATTTTAAATCTCTCAACAACTATAGAAAAAAAAAAAATTGAAAATTTTAATGAAAATGATTATATAAACATTTAGTAAACATTTCAAGTATTTACTTTTATTTTTATTTTTTGAAATACAACAAATTATTAAAAATTATTTAAGGAGAAATAATCATTTTATGGATATCCAATGTTGTAATAATTTGAACTTAAATTGCCTATTAAAAATTGATTTGGCTTTCAAGAAGATTTATTGGGAATAAAAAACAATAATTTAAACATTCAATGAAAACTTCAACTATCTACGGTTATTTGTTTTTGAGTTACACCAAAAAAAGTAAAGATTTTATCAAATATTGAATATGCATAAATTTTCTTGATTTTTAATTGTTTTTTTTTTAATTTTAGCCAATTTTAAAATTTACTCTTAAAAATTTACTTTTGACCTCCCAAAGTATTAAATCCAATTTTCTTTTTTTACTGCCCCAAAAATTGTTACATACATACAAAAAAAATATAACACATCATTGCAATATCAATAGTATTGATATTAATACATTTTTATTGTATTGATTCAATACATTCATCACTCAACTCAGAATCTAAAATGCATAATGTTTATGTTAACAATTAGAAAAAAAAATTGATAAAAATAAATGTATTATGTGTAGAGTGTGTTAATGAGAAGCAGTCAGCCTTTAGTTGGTTCAAGTTCTAAACGTTGTAAACAAGATGAACGTGTTATAAACTCTGTTCTTGGTCCTGGAAAAAGAGGGTATATAATTGATACCCGCAGTGTTGCTAATGCTACAAATGCCAAAGCTCGTGGAGGTGGGTTTGAGATGGAAGCTCACTATCCTCAGTGGAGACGAGTAAATTCTGCTCTTGAACGTCATAATGTTTTATTGGATAGCCTGTCAAAATTAATTGAAGCTTGTAATGATACAACATGTACTATTGAACGATGGCTTAACAAATTAAATGGGAGTGAATGGTTGTCTCATGTTAAAGATACATTAAATGCAGCTTGTTTAGTAGCTCAATGCTTAAATAAAGAGCGAGCTTCAGTTTTGGTACATGGATCAGAAAGTACAGATGCAACATTGGTATTAATATCATTAACTCAATTGATTTTAAATCCAGAATGTCGAACGATTGTAGGGTAAGAATTTGTAATATCATTTTAATACTTTATAATGTCTCTCTTAAATAAAGTGTTTGATAAATATTTTTAGATTTGAATCACTAATTGAGAGAGAATGGCTTCAAGCTGGGCATCCATTTGAAACTCGCCATAAAAGTGGTTGTTATAATGCAGCTCGTTCCAAAGGGTCTTCGTCATCTTCATCAAAAATTTTTCATCATGGATCAGGCGCCACTTTTTTATTATTTCTAGACTGTACATGGCAAATACACAATCAATTTCCATGCTGTTTTCAATTTTCAACAAATTTTTTATCATCACTTGTTGATCATTCATATTGTTCAGATTTTAGTACATTTTATGGTAATTGTGAGTCTGATCGGAAAAATAATCCATGTGGAAAACCAAATTTATGGTCACACTTTGACCAAAAAATTGATGAAATTATTAATCCTTTATATCTACCTACAAATAATGTAATTTGGCCTTCTGTTGCTCCATTTAGTATAGTAAGTATAATGTATATTTTCATTTAATTCTATGTTTTTATTGTTGACCATAATTTGAAAATATTACTTTTGATAAATTACTTCATTTAATTTTAATCTTACTTTAATTACAATAAATATATTAGCTTAAGTATGTTAAAATTGTATTGTAATTGTGGATTCAAACCAAATTTTTAGGAATTGTGGAGAGATATGTACTTAAGATGGTCTATTGATCAAACACACCAAAAAAAGTATAAAAAATCAATTGATGACTTAATTAAAAGGAATAAAGAATTAAAAGTCTTAGCTACAAAATTACGCAACGAGACTCAAGAGTCTGGTAACAAATCTACATAATTAATTATATTTTATATATTATTCAATACAGGTATCAAACAATTATTTAATGATATGTTATTTTTTATTTATGCCATTTAATTTGTAAGTCAACTGTAAAAATTATATTATATATTTATTACTATGTATATTGTTATTTATTTCCATTGAAATAATGTACTAATTTACTTGAAAATATACAACTTGATAACTTATAAAAAGTTTTAAAGAACAACATTTTTATATTTACCTGTCAAATATATTGTTAACATTTGATTAATACTTTAATTTCTATTTTAAAATATAATTTTAATTGTTTATATATGTATATACCATAAATTGCTTTTAATTAGTTATGTAAAAAAAAAAAATATTTCATGGTTCTTTTAATTTTAGTTTTCAAATCATAAATTTTCCTTTAATTTTGTTATAACTATTTTTAAGCTTTCTTGTTACATAAGTTACATTTAGCAATAAAGCTAGATGACAAATTAATAATTGTTATACATAAACTCAATACAGAAGCATATTAAGTAATATAAACATTTAATTTTTTTTTAAAACATAAACCTTTATTATTTAAAACATTATTATTAAATAGCAATTGGGTTCTATCATTAGTTATAAATATTTATAAGCAATTATATTTTATTAACTTATGGTACATCTTGTTTGTAAAATAATTTCACTGTCCTTAGTTTCTTAGGTATTAGTGTATGTTTGGAAATTGGTAGTATACAAGATAAAAAAGAAAAAGCTAACAAATAGAATCAACTAATTTAACTATCTAATAACTTTTATTTTAATCTATATTAAAAAAATAATTTATTATAAATTATAATTCATATTTTTTTTATATAATGATTAAAATAAAAGTTGTGTAGATTTGGTTACTACATTTATGTATTCTTTTTGTTAATATTTAAAAATATGTTCTATAAAAAAGTGTTCTTATTCTATGAAAATTATTTGTTCATTGATCAGCCACTTATTAATTTAAAGATTAGGTCAAGTGCCTGTATATAAGTTGATTATTTATTGATGTTACCTTAAGATACTATTAATTATAATTTTATTTAAACATTAATTTTCATACAGTGTAGATATTAGAACAAAAATAATTCAGAGATAAATAAACCAAAAAAGAACAAGAACTAAAATTGATATTTCTAAGTAGGATTTTCATTCAATATTATCTTGAATAAACAAAAAAATATTTTTATTACAATAAAATTAATTATTAATTAAAATTCTTGTTTATAGTTTAGTAAAATATAACCAGAAGTATAATTATTTAATAACAGAAAGTATACTGGATATTAAACATATAAACATTATTATTAACTTAAAGCTTAAGAGGATACAACATTGAACATAAAGCATTTGAAAAAGCAAAATACATTATAAAGGCAATTTAAAGTTATATGTTACATTTTTAAAAATTATTCCATGTTTGTATCACTTTTAATTGTTATTAAACTATGAAATTTGTCCAAAAATAGTCTTTTGACTCCTAATATATGATTTTTTTAACCCTTGATAATAGTACACTGATATTCTTAATATGCAGTTTTAAGGAAAAACTTAAAATTTTTAGTTTCATTTTTTTTTTTTTTTTTAAATATGTTAAAATTTATAAAACCTTAAATTTATTTGAATGAAAAATTATTTTGCGTGTTTTACAATTAACAGCAAACACATAGGCGCAACTAGACCAATACTTTTGAGGGTGCACAAATAGTGAAGAGCTCACAGAGCCGTTGTGGCAAAGCCCCCACACTCCCACATTATTACTCCCATTACCGTTCACATTACACAAATAAAAAAAGGACAGCTATAATATAAATATAGTATAATATCATTATAATTGTTGTTCCACGAATTACGAATAACTTCGTTTATGAGACCCGTATAAAAACGTTATAAGTCAAAACTTATTGTTTATTAGTACATTATAAAATAAGACTATATATAGTGTCGGTATAAAATATATATGTATACACTATACATTATGTATAGCAGGGAACATAATAGCAAATAGGAAACTATTTTTCTCAATAATATACATTATGATACCTACAATAATTTTTAGAAAATGGATTTTATTTTTCGAGGGTGCACATTCCAAACTTGGGGGTGCACAAGTCCCTTGTGCACCCCCCTAGTTGCACTAATGAGCAAACACACTGGGAATAAACATATTTTATCTATAGAAATAGATACATTACAGTTGTATTGAATTATAGATGGTCAATGTATATTAAATAACAAATGATAATTTTTATTTCATTTTTAGTATACATTGGAATATGAAGAAAACATAAATAAACAATAAATGTGTTACCACTAGGGCTCAGAAGTTATTGCATTTGTATATATTTTTGGGTTATTAGATTTATTGCTAAATAAGCTTGAAATTAATTTCACAACACATTGTGTTTCCTAAATTTCAAGTCAATATATAATCTCTTGTTTTCGCTGATAAATATTTAATAAAAAATTATAATATATAAAAATATTTGTACTCAGGAAAATTGTGAGTAGAAAAAAAAAAGTAAGTGGATATTTGTACTATAAAAATTGCATAAGTGCATGCATATTTAATGCATTAAGTTTCAATCCCTAGTTATCACATTTAAATAATAAAAAATGCTTTGTTGTTTATAATAATTTATTTATTATATATAAAACAGTCTATAAAAAAATTGGCAAAGATACGGCAAAAATTTACAAAAAATAAAATAATATTACCCTAGACCCAGTTGTATAATATACAAATAATTAATCATTGAACTTTTTTTTGTACTTTTTTGGTTTCTGGGCTTCCGAGTGTTTTCTTCCTCTGGTATACCATATGCATAAACATTTGAGGAAATACTAAAAAAAAAAAAAATATAAAAAAATTATATTATTTACTGAATATTATCTAATCTAAGTTTAATTTTTTAAATAGTTTCAAATAAGAAGTTAACTGTAAACCTTAGTTAAATATTATATGCATAGACAGCTAATCCCACCGGGATATTCAATTATTCATAATGACTTAACTTATTGAATCACTTTTTCTTTTTAAAATTTCATAGATGGTAATTTAATGATATTGGGCAAAAATTAAAGCCTGGACAAACAAAATTTCATGGTTTGAAATTTTTAATTAGGCTGTTCCTGATATTTTTTACTTTGTATATATTTAGATTTAAGAATTATAATTTTATTAAAGATTTTTTATAAATAATACTTACATGGTATATACACCAGCATAACTATGAGAATTGCAGACCATAAACTAAGTGCAATATTTAATTTATTAGGCATTTCGATACTCCACATTTTGGTTCTTCCTACATATCCCAATGATGTCCAGTATACTATTAATTCACCACTAACGCCAACTGGATACAAAACATAGAAGAATGAATACCTAAAAAAATTACATTCTCAATGTATAATTCTATAATAAACACAATAAGATTAATATATTAAATACTACCTTGCCCAAACTATTAGATAAGGGATATAACCAATAATATTGAAACCATAGTATGAGTATCTGGTAATTTCAGCAAAGCACCAAGCAGTTAAGGCCAATGGTAAACCTGGAGAGTCTGATGTCTCTGGTATAAATACTATAGCAGCAACAATGGCTACACGAGACAAAACTTGTTGAATAGTAACTGCCAAATTAGTTTTCACAAAACCAGCAGCTACATTGAAAATCTATATAAATAATAATTAAAATACAATTAAATTAACAAAAGTTTAAAAATATCTACACACAGCTCATCTTTTAATTTTCATACTTTGATTTTTAATTATATTTACTAAAAATTACTAATTAATTGAATAAAGAATACAAAAGTTATTAACCAGTATACTTATTAAGAGCAAAATATATAATTTTGTTAGTTACTATTTATAAATAAGATATTTGAGACTTGAGTGGTAAATCAATTAATAAATTACCATTTAAAGAATTACAGAACCACAATAATGTCAATTAAAAATATTTGGTTAATTAAGTAATGAAGTAATAGTAGGAAAAATTCGATAAAAAATTAATATGGATGTGAATTATGATATACTTATGCTAGTGAGAGTATTTTTATCTTCAATTATACCAAAAATATATGGTAAATGTAATAAAATATTACAATTTATTTTTTGAAAATAACATTGGATTTGAGTATGATATACTTAATTATAATAATAAAAACCTGTTACATGTCATACTGGCATGGTAGGCTATAGGTACATTACATGAATTAAAACTTGTTATAGACCAACAAGGAACTGTTGACCTTGCATGTGACCTAAAATAGTGAATAGTATGAATAATAACTTACATATTCAATGACATTCATATAATATTAGATAATTTTAAACTTAACATAACATTTATTATTCATCATTCCATCAACAAAATAAATATTTAACAACTTAAATATATTAATATGCCCGTATTTTATCATTTAAAATGTAATAAATAATTATACTAATTATTAATATATATTTTTATCAAACCTACATACAAGTAAATATTAAAATTTAAAGTAATACTATTTGCCATAATAAACATTAAATCAAAAAAATATTCAATAAAAATGATTTCATTTTTTTAACAAATTAAAAACTGCAATTTATATTTTATTTCATTTAAAAACGTATGTACCTCAATAACTGCTGCATTTTGGAAAATTCCAACTGTATACTTTACAACGTCCCACAATGTTTGAGATTTAGGTGGGTTCACATAGAAATTAACGATTTGAAATAACAAATAACTCCATCTGGAAAAAAATACCATGAAACTAAAGCATTTTGTTGCTCATGTATGAAAAATATTTAAATGACTGTAAATTACCCCAAGACTTGAATGAAATTGTAGGCGAGTAAATACGCATTTATTACCGGACTAATTTTTTTGATCGTTTTTCCTTTGGTCGCTGCCATTATATTACAGAGAATTACGTTTAGTGAAAATAACAAATAATTAAAATTAAAAAATGACAAAAATAAAAAAATAAATTTTAAAACTAGGCAATCTTCTTAAGAATGAGATCAACTTAGTGTCGTGTCTTTACAACGTACACGGTACACTGACTACCGAGTCAGCTACAACAAATGACTACGGCCTACGACCTAAAATTTACAACTGTACAAAATCCAGAAAACTAGTAACAGTAATAACTACGAGCGTCGAACACTCAAATAATTAAGCGAAGTGCGAACCAAATGATTATCGTTCGTATCAAGGTGGTTTGGTTTGATAGGTTATCAATCCACCTTGGTTGATATCAAACAGCTACCTACTATCTTTGAGATTCCGGGTACCCATTGGATTCATAAATCATACTAATAAATTTAACTATTTTTTTTCCAAGACGTGTTTTTACTTTTTAATTTAAAGCCTATAACCGGATTGCGAATTGCTGTAGAAAACTGGAAAATATCAGAATAGACAGAATATCATACCCAAAGTGGATATATAATATATATTCTTGTTTATAAATTCTCCTTGATCGTGTAGGTATTACGAATACTTAAAAAGTAAGAATCAAGACACGACACACGAGTGGCAATTGAGCATCGACGTGTTAATACGTTTACTCTTCCCACTTATAAAACTATTCATTATTAGTAAAGTGAAATTATGGTGAAGTAATTAAGGTATGTCCGCAAACGGACGAGCGACGTCATTCATTCGGTAGATGCTAAATAGGTAGTATACCTATGGTGATTGGGATATATTACCTATCTATACATTAGTAGGTACTTTATTTACTACTTAATACTTTAGAAGTATCTAGCATCTATCAATTACCATAGACTATTACTAAAATTACTTTAATAAAATTTATACCAGTTATATACCTATCTTATATCTTATATATATATACGATTAATTAAATAGTATGTACAGGTCTATCAATTATAAAATCTACTATTCAATCATCTAAATAATAAATCGTATTATTTATCGTCAGGCGTTCTACTTTGAAATTATTTTAAAGGCTCTTATGAAGTCATTACATTTTATTTACAACATAATTTTATAAATTTATTGAAGTGCTTATTTTTATTTTCACTCAAAAATTTTTTATCAACCGATATAAAATTATACAAATTTTGTTAAATTAATTAATAAATTGAAGAAAGGTTTTGAAATAATTTTCAAACATGATATAAGTCAAAAACTTAATTTCTAATGGTGAAAAAATATATTTTTGTTGAACACGGAACACCTATACAATTTACAACTATTTAGGATAAGTGCAAAGAGCAATTATAGGTATGCTAAGACTTTTGGCTTTCATTCAATACACACCACGCGGTGACTGGGCACTCTGCCATAATCATAAAACAGTATAATACAATAAGTACCTATCTATATTACTGTTGTCTATTCTCTGTAATAATGTAATGGTGAAACAATTTTTTTTTTTTAATTTTCATAGAAATTGTCTATAGGTACTAGATTCTTATAGAAGAATTAATGTGTGGTGTCCAAAATAAAAAAATAAAATAAAATAAAACTGTAGTTATTTTTTTTATTGTATTTTATTTTATCAATTTTAATACGCCTCAATAGTGACTCGTAGAGATGCAGAGTACGTACTAAAGACAATTTTGATTTGTAGCGAGTGCAAGAACGAAGTTAAGAGCGCAAACAACATGCTACTGATTTATAAGTTTTAAACTTTATTTTAATTTTAGCCTAACCAAACTTTTACATACATCTACCATGAATTTTGGTATTTTACCCACACGCAATGACATTTTAAATTTTAAAACATTGTCTATTTATAATATTTATATTTTATAGCATAAACCTATTCACATTGTTTTACGGTAAGGTGGTATTGACTCAAAAGTTAAAAATAATAATATAATATTATTATGCATAATTAAATAATTATATAATTCAACAAACAGTGTTCGCCCAGAATCATTTTTATCATACATAATGATATATCACTGAATTAAAATTTAACACTTATGAAAGTGACTTATTCAATGGAGTGGTACACTGAGGCCTGAGCACCTATACTCTGCAGCATAGCGGTCATCTATAATTCCCTTCTTTTTTTTTAATCAAAGTTGATTACCGATTTGTATTATATTTATAATGTATTTTATTTTTATTTTTTTTATGTAAGTCTGGGTGGTTATTACTTATTACAATGTGGTAAACCTAAAATATGTTTACGTTACGGAAAAAGATGATCATTTAGGAATTGTCATTATTCCCTAGTCATTGTTAACAATTACTGATGATATTAGGCATTGGTGAATATTTTGTATAGTTGTATCTACATTTCCGTATTATTTTAGGCAACGTTGTAAATTGACAGGGCTGATCAAACAAATTATAGATAATCTTAATTCGATTTTATGTTATCAACTTCTCAATATTTATTTTTTATTTATTATTTTTTATTTTAGACTTACAGCGATGAATGATGATTGCATTGATTAAATATGATTTTAAAATGTGTATTTTTTATTATTATGTTTTGTATGTCATCTTTTTTTGAATCTGTAAAAATGTTCTAGTCTTTTATAATTTTTATAATATCATTTCTGGTTTCAAAATGAATCAGTTGATACTTTATATTTTTTTAAATAATTTGAAAAACAAAAAAAAAAAATAGGTTGCAAGTTAGTACCGCTTTAGTGTATGGGTAATGAGTAGGTCACTTTAATGCATGTTAAATTCTAATTCAATGATACATCATTATAATTTATGAAAAACAATTTTGAATGGATATGGTCTGTCAGAGCGTCATCCTAATCGCTAAGTATATTTTATGATTTGTTTTTTGATATAGCTATTTAAATCAATTATTTTATTTTAGTATTGCAGTAAGATTTATATATTTTATTCGCAGATTACAGTAGTCAGTAGCCAAAACTCTATACTTATGATGAAATTATGGAACAATTTTTTTTTACTCTTTTAAAAACATTACAAGCGCATATAATATTAAATACGACTTAAAATAAATTAAATTCATAGGTTGGATAACCTATAAAGAATAAATTTAATTAAATTGGTTATATGTAATAATTAGAAATGCAAAGAATTTAATCATTCATTATTGATAATATACCTATATATATATTAATTTATTAGCCTTATCTGTCATAATATGACTCATACCATATACTATTATTAATTATAATGTATTAATATTTATTGTTATCAGTGAAACCATTAAAAACATATACTTTCAAATTATTTTATTATACTAGTAAGTAGTATTATAACAGTATTCATAATAATGGGATAAAAAAAACAATAAAATAGTAAAAATATTTAAAAATTTCAATTAGTTGTTTGATTATTTAAATTTAGAAAAAGATAAATTACAGGTTAACTTAATTCTTAAATACTTCAAAATATCTTCTATATGTGTAAGTTGTATCTATTCAGATTTTAAAATATTTGTAATGAGTATATATTATATATTTATGTACAGAAAAGTTTTACTTAAATATTTAAGATTGGGGGAAATGATCAAAATATTTCTCTTTGTTAATTATTTAAAAATTTAATCAAAAATTTACTTTAGAACTATTATTCATAAATTAAATACAAGTACCTTTAATAATATAGAATACAGATAGAATTTTAAGTGGAGCAATTATTGAAAAATGCATTGTTTTATTAAAATGTATTTTTTGTTTTTAAGGGTCTATTATCTTTACGTTTTGAAGTACAATTTTTTTGGTGACAAATTCGATATAGTATGTACATTGGGTTGTCGAAAGTAGTAAAGAAGAGGATTTAAAAGGTTTTAATATACTTGTATCTTAGTAAAACTGATTTAAAAGTAATTAATATGAATACATTTAATTTACAAATTTATGCCATATGTCGCAGGGACGGATTTACACAATTGCCGCCCTAGGCAAATTAAATTTTGCCACCTTTAAACTTATCAATGAGAAAACGTATTTTTAAGTACTTATTTATCATAGCTATCAATAAAATAATAAATCATATAGACTGATACTGACTAATAATTATTGGTTATATTCATAAACTGTTCTAATCAAAAATTCAAAAATTAATACAATATTTATTAAAATATAATCTATCACCATGTTTTTGAATAAATTTGTTATACCAATTAAATATAATTAAGTATTAAGTTTCTTGAAAAAACTAATGTGTTTAATCAGTTTTAAATTATATTATATTAGTAAAAAAAAACAATAGTAAATAATCAAACTGAAATATTCGTATTTATTATCAATACACAACATGATATAGCAAATGAGAAAAATAATCAAAAAAAAAACTAAGTATTTCATTTGTTTGCATCTTGCTTTTTTCTAAAAAAGTTTGAATTATGTCTTCAAATTGTACTATTCTTATGTAATTTTACTTTCAATCAACAAAATCGCTAAGGAGTTTAATTTTTCTTGTTTAATTTTGAACGCAAATACGTTTTTATCTGCTTTAAAGAAGAAAACGATTTTTCCGGTATACAGCTAGTGAAAGATGTTGACATATAAATTCTCAAAATTATTTCTATGTTTGAAAACACCGACTTCAAATAATTAAAAAAAAAATATTTCCAAAAATTTAAGTACGGTGAATTTTTGTTTGATGTACTTAGAAATTAAAGAGATCGAAAATGTAATAGCTTATGCCCAAACTTTTCATAGTTCATGTTCATAATCTAAATTAATTTTATAAATTTGGCAAAGTTTTTTAAAGCTTTTTCTGATATTTCATTTTACTTTATGTTTTTAAATATGCTTAAAATAAAAAACTATCACAAAAATATTTATAAGCTTCTTGTCATTTTTGAAATCAAGTAACCAACACTTGATTAATAATTATAAAATTTAATAAAGTTTGGATTATAAAAATGAATGACTATATATTGTAGGTGGTTTACTTCAATTGTAAAAATTAAAAACTACCTCACAAAATCAAAAAAAAAACTAGAACTCTCAATAAAATATTAGCATAAAATTGCTACCCTCAAAAATTTGCCACTCTAGGCAACTGCCTACTCTGCTTGACGCTAAATATCTATCACTAGATAGTTGTCAACTAATGGTTTTAGTAAAAATTTTGAGTTTATTTTCTAAATAGTAAATAATTTGTTTCATATTAGGTACTAGGTAGTATCTTTAATTTATATAATTTGTAAAAATGTAAACTAGAACGTTTTTTGATCTCAATTTCCTTGATTTTTTTTAAGAACCTTTACAAAAAATAATTTTAAATAGTAAAAAAAAACCTTAAACAGTAAAAAAAACAACAAAAAGTACCTATTAGTTATTTTATAGTAACTCGAAAACTATCATACAGACTTGAAGCTTATTGCTAATACAATTTTTATTTATTATAATTTTCTATACACAGAAAAATTTTTAAAATACTTTAATTAATTTTTAATTATTTGCACCATGAACCTACTCACACCATTTTACAATACGTCGCCACGTCGGAGAGTTTTGACTTAAAATGAATCGGATAGTACCATTTTAACTTCGGCGACACTGATACGCAGAAAACTCAGCACCACTACGTATGTCACTAGTTATTACGTCGATTCATAAAATATCAGAATGTGACTACGTCAGAAATTCAGAATAATAGAGATGTCGTCACTCGAGGAGATAAAAATAATATCGTCCAACAGTAGGTTAATCGAACAAAACAAGCTCAAATCAAGTGTAGCTACGTAGCGTACATAATAATTGTATGATAATAAAATAATAATTATGCTTACATACAGTTGATAATAATTTTGTCATATTATGCTTTGTAAAAATCTATTTGCTATATTCGCGCGTAGTAATAAAACTCTATAGGTACTAATAATGTACTACTACGTCATCTGTCCGCGCTACGAGACGTATTAATAAAACAACAAATGTACGTTATCGTTTTTTTATTGTTATTGTTAATTGTTATTAACTTACTGATATTTACAGTTGATAATTATAATTTATATGTTATAAAAGTTATAAGTTATGACCATTGATTATAAACAATTTTTAATCGATGTAATTTCTTATTATCGTTGTTTATGATTAGGACTCGGAACTTAATACACTTAAAAAGTACTAAATATTTATGCATTTATGCACTATGCACTTATAATAATAGTAAAAATGTACGATCAAATATGCACTTATATTTTTTCTACTCATAATTTTTATAATTATAAATACTTTATTAAAAAATATTTTTAATTTATTTTATAACTTGTACTAGATATATATAGATTAATAAAAACGGGAAATTGTATGTCAACTAGTGATTTGAAAAACATTTATGCCAATATTGCCAATAATAGGTACTTAGTGAAAACCCTCAAAATAAATAAACATTTTAAAGTATTATTTTTTTTTAATTGTATTTTAAACATATCATTTATTATCAAATGTGATCTAAAATAATAGTGATATTGAAAAATATGCTAATAAAACTACAAAATCACTAAACATGCAAAAATATGCACTATTAACTTTTAATATTTTTTTCGAAGTGTCGTGAAATTAATTTCAAGCTTACTTAAAAATTTATTTAATAAGTAATTACCCAAAAATACATGAAAATGCAATAACTTCCATCCCTTATTCAAGATTATTATTGCCGTTCATCATGACCGTGTTACTGCGATAATATATAGATCAATTATTTTGTCATCAATATACATTTTTATTTATAATAGATAGATGTGATAGATATTTTTATTTAGCAGAAAAAATTACGTTAAGTAGGTAAGTAAAGTGTAAATTATCATAATTCATACTACATATTTATATGATTGTTGGAAAAGGTAAAGACTAGGCCTCCTACATCACATTTTTGGCCCTGGTAAAGAAATAAATCCGGGTCTCTCTTATAATTAAAAAATAAAATATCAACAAATTTATAGATATCCTTTATAAATTGAAAACAGTATAGGTACCTAATGTTTTTTTATTTAGCGAATTCTCCAGGCATGTTTAGGAATAAAAATGCAATTAATAAAAATACAAAAATTATTTTGCTATCAATAAGATATTATGTGTTTTAAAAGTAATATAATGCATGACAAATATCACCTATTTTTGTTATACTTATCTGTGCTCATTCTGCTGCGCTTCATCAATGTTGTAATTTATATATAATTTACGTCTACGAGTACAAGACAATTTTTCTTTGTTTTATATTTTATTGTGCTATTTTTTAATATTGTTTAGTGTAATAGTGGTTTAGTACTTAAGTAACTTGATTTCTAAACCTTTTCAAGGAGATATTTTTAAAAAAAAAAGTAAAATTATTAAAACAGGTACCTTGTTCGGTAGGTAATCCCTAATCTTACAAGTATTCACAAAGATAAAAAAAAGAAAATATATTTGACATTTTAAAAAGTATTAGAAGATTTAAAAATGAGTCCTGAATTTTACGATCAAGTAACAGAAAAGTTCGTTGAAAAAGAAAAAAGAATTGTCTTTATTTAAAAAAAAAAAAAAAAAAAACGAGAAGGTAACTTGTTGTAGTAAAGAATATTATTTAAGTAAGTGCTATTGTATAAAGTAATAAATTATAGTCTTATTTATAAATGAGTACAAATTTGTGTGTTATTTATTAATTACAAATTAAATAGAACTATAATATATTATGATAAATGAGCATGCTCATAATTGGAATCAGCACGCGCCACTGGTAGATTTTATAAATGAGTCAATTCCGTGGATATTCTTCTCTGTTATTTGATGATATATAGTATATAATAAAAATTTAGAAAATGTGTTTGCCCTTACATTCTTTAGATATAGTTTTTCTCATTTAAAATAGGTTATTGAAATTAGATGGATTTGCCGCAATAATTTTTTTATGAACATCGTCGTTCAAGCCATAAACCTTGGTCAAACAAATCGTGAATATCGGTTTTGTTTGTAAAAAGAGCAATTGTATTTTCACAAATTTCTTTTTTGAAAATATTTTGAACCAAAATAGGTTATTAAGCAGCTGGGTATTCTATATCTATACTTTTATTTTCAACTAGTATAATTTCAATAGAGTGTATATTTTTTTCAGCTTCTTTTAATTTAAAATATTTGTTTACCTATTAATTGAGTGTTTGAAACTGCTTTTTCTTTTTTCATTTTCTTTTCTGATATTCAGATTTATGCTTATAAAAAGACATTTTGAGGTCGAATAAAAATCGAAATAAAAAAAATAACTTATAATACTTACGTTTGTGTATAGAACTACACGCTTACACAAAATAAATATGTGATAATAATATAATTATATAACGATATGATATATAAATAAGAAATAAGTATTAACATATAACTAGAAAATTATTTTCCATTAATATTGCACAACTAAATTATTATGAACAAAAATATCGCGTGATTATATTTGTGAAAGGGAAAATTTCTTAGGCGATCATTGTTTTTTAATTAATTACTATTGGTGTGATATTATAATATTTAAGATATAATCATAATTAATTTATGTATCAATGGACAATATTATAGTTTTAAAGCTTAAATATTTGTATTATATATCTACACGTATGTCAGTGGCGTAGCCAGGATTTTTCTGGGGGGGAGCTGACCAATTTTTACACATCGGTAGTTTACTTAAAAAAAAAAGTCATCAGATAAAAAAAGCTTAGCCCAATACTATTTTATTTTTTTTATATTTTGGGGAAGGGGGTGCAGTACTGCAGCCCCTCCTCTGACTACGCCACTGATGTATGTACATTACTTGATTTTTAATGAAAAAATATAAAATATAATCTATTTCTGGCTCTACATGACTACACGACTAATGACTATATATTAAAAAACGAACCTGGCAGCAAGTTGTTACATTAAACGCGTGTCTATTGTTTAAGCAGTAATAGTGTAAAAATGTTAAGTGTCTTACTGATTTACACTCCTGTACAGTACTACAACAAGTAGAAGTGTACAACAGTCAACTATAGTAATTAATATAGTATTTTTGTACACGGTACACAACATACTACACCTAAATCGGTATTCGGTATAATAAATAATAATATAATATGTATCTAATACATAATATTGCATGGGTACTGCGCAGTAGACGTATGCGCGTTTTTTTCCTATTCGATTTCACGCGCGTGTACAGCTGCCGAATCAAATTTCCCTCTGATGTTTGGGTTGTTGGCTACACCGTTGCATCGATGAACGGGGGCCAAGGATCGCACCTCCGCTCGTCGCCCAGTCCATCCAAGTTGTTGCGCGCATTCACCGCAACGACAACAACACTGCGGCCTCGTCCTTCAGTGGGCCCGTCCGTAATATTCTGGGTCGTCGTTTCGACTGGAAATTTTTTTTCAAACGCGTTTTTTTTTTCCTTTAACATTTTTTCCGGTCGTCAACCGCCGGCGTTGGTCTTTTAAACATTTCTGTTGGTCCGTTGCGCACTCGCGCTTCGCGTTCCCCGGACAGACAGGCGTGCGTGACCAGCCCTACGGCGGCAGCAAATCTCGTCTCGGGGGCCGGACAACTACACACGGAAGAACCTGCAGCTGTATTACGTCGTTGTCACCGTCACATCTTAGGTGAGATTCTTCTATGACAGATTATTACTTTATAACATACACAATATTTATTGATAATTATTAATTACTCAAACGGTGTACTGTGATCTGACTAATGGCGTAAAATTGTCGTGAGAAATGTCGCAGGCGTGCATTATCGATGGTGTCGTGATAGCGGCGTTAGACGTCGAGCGCGCGCATCTTGATGCCGCCGCGGGCTCAATATGGCCACCACCTGCATTGCGCTCGATGGGTTCGCGCCATTTCAAGCATTCCATACTTGCTGTCTTCGTTTATTGATTTGGCGCTTTTTGACTTTTAAACGGGGTTTTGATCTATACTTGGATTGTCCTAACTCTAGTCATTCATAAACGAACCACTTTTGTCGATCGCCAACAGACAAAAATGATTTTTGAGACCCATTTGATGGTCATCTTTTTAAGTCTACCATCTTCTATTCAGGTGTTTATTCTGTGTATAATCGCTAATGGGGTCAAACCACTTTTTTGAATTGTATTGTCTCTCTTGTTTGTATTTTGCATAGATAGATTTCAAAAATAGTTAAATGCTGAACTAATTATGTCAACTTTGGGGCCATAATATGACTAAAATGATAAGAGCTTACTTTAATAGGTTTTATAACATGAATATGCATGACTTCATAATCAATCTAGATTAATAGAAAATTATAGTTTAATTTGGAATTTCAAATAAACTTGACTATCTTAAATAAAAGCCAAATATAATGTTTTTTGTTTTGTTTCCTTTACTGAATGTGACAGTGAGGTTCAATATAATATATACCTAATAAAAGTAGATCAGTATTATTATTACTATTATTAATATTAATAATATTATTGATTTGATGTTTTTAATCTTTTCTCTTTTAAAATTTATTTCTACTTAAAAAAAATATACAATAAATAATAATTTATCCTATTTTAAAACTAAGCAAGTTAGAATACATTTTTGATTTTATAATTTTGTTAGTAGGTATGTATAACTAGTAATCAAATATTATATTATTTAGATTGCATTATTTATATTTAGTTAAAAAGTATTTAGTGTGTTATTTGCAATTATCTATTACATATATTATATGTCTATTATATATATCTTACAGACATACAACAGCAAATTTATGTTCACTATTCAGTAGATTATCTGTAATTTTAAGATACTTATGATCATAATTAAATGTAAGAACTGTTAAGCATTTTTTCAGTATTTCAATTTTTAAGTAAAATATGAGGTTACGTATAAACATACATTAAAAATTCTCATATCTAGCTTATATCAAAATATTCAAAAATGCCAATACACATAAAATGTTTTTACCCTCAATTCTGATAATATTCACTCTAATATTAAAACTTATAATAATCATAATGTACAGTAATAAAATTATAATCAGTTATTAGTTCTTTTAAGCGCTAACTTGTTATATTGTATGTTTGTAAGATGGAGACAAAACGTCATGTAGGTTAAGTAATGTCCCTTGTATATGTCAGTTTAAATATAGGTATCATTTTATCAAATGTTTTTCTTTGTATTGAATATTATATCAAATATCTACTTAGTAAATGTTTGTTTCTATATTAAATAAAATTATTATAGATAATGCATTTTCCTTAGTATTTATCAATATTAATAACAAGCAATTGATGATAAGTTAATATATTATATAATGATATACTTAATGCAATGCAATTGCTCTTGTTCATATTAAATATTAAAATCAAGTTCATGTTTTTTAAAGTTCTAAATTAATGTTGTATTGTGCTATATATAATTAAAATTAATTATATTTATATAAGACAAATTTTAGCATTTGTTATTTTATTATTCCAAAGTTCCAAATAGTTTTCTTATCTTATCTTAATATTAGGTACTGACATTGTGTTGTTTTGAATGTGATGCTGTGTCTGGTATGGGTTTTGATTATATAAAATTCCTTTGCGAGTTGAAAATTTTCTTGTAATTGAAAAACAATAAATACATTGTTTAAAAAGTTAAAAATAAATGTTGAACTAATTTTATTATTATTAATAATCATATTAAGGTAATAATATATATTAGATTGTACCAATTTATTCTAACCAGATTATTACTTAGAGTTACATTTTATTCTTTATTGTTTAGGTACCTATAACTTATATGAATCAAATCCAGAAATGAATTAATAATTCTGCTTATTTTAAAATGGGTATCATTCTTGTTATTACTTATTAAATACATTCAAAAAATTATTTTTATGAGTGGGATATAGAAATGATTTATGTTGCTTTTTATTTATTTTATAGTTGATTATTTAGCCATTTCTTTTTTTTAGTGATTTTTGTAATTTTATTTATTGAAGAGTTTTTGTTATTCTATTATAACCAGCAATCTAACTTTATGCCACAAAATATTAGGTATAATAATACAATTTGTTAAAAATAAGTAGTACCTATATTATGAATATTAGATTACTTAAAATGTACAAGTATAGATTTAAGTTAAAATGTTCAAAAAATTCCACATAAATGGTATTTCTATCCTCTTTTTAGCAAATAGATTACCTATAAATGTAAAACAAGTTCATATGTATATACAATGTTGATCTAGCTCATGTTTGTCATTACAAAATGATTTTAAATATAGTATAGTATATTAGGTATACACAATTAGTTCAAGTTCTTTGATATTTAAATGTTATTTTTGTTTTGTAAGTTGTAATTGAAGGTCCTGGGGTAATTGAGTAGGCACTAGGCACCTATTACTATAATATTTAAACATTTTACTTACTATTATTTATTATTAAAATATAATTTTTATATATAAATTGTTTTATTTAAGTATCAAGTTGAATAATATTATATGGTATACAGTATTAGGTATATAAAAGAGTTTATAAATTATTTATGTGCGGCTTGGTATGGTACTATGGTTGACCTCAGTCGCTTACATGTTCTGAGATCAAGTATCAGAGATTGTCACTAACTCCTGGATGTTAATCAATAATCATCTAGGTTTTTAGTGATAGATTTTTACCTCATATACACATGTTGTAAAAATAGTACCCTCCATATAGTAAAAAATTGACTAAAGCATCTAACTATTGTTGTTGAAGACTAAAATATATGTAACAAATTGTTTTCTATTTAACTAAATATTTGTTTAAAACTTAACTAGATAGGTAGGTACATATTATTTATACATTTTATAAATAATAATTCATTTTTCCAATATTAGATTAATTGATACATACACATATATATTTATATTAAAAATTATCTAAATTATCTAGTATTAAAATAAAATATTGCCATGTTAAGGTTTAAAGATAACTGTGTCTAACAAATTACATAACATAGAATAGCAATACTATAATAGTGATAAGTTTTCAATCTAAGTTATACCAATATTTTATATATTTATTATTAATTAATCTTGTTAGTAAAACTATTTTATTATTATTTTTAGTATTCATATTGAGTCTCCTGAACGTTCATTAAATAAGAAGACGCAGAAAAAGATAGGAAAAAATGAATTTCAATACAGTTTACTAACTGCTGTTCGTTGCATGCAGCAACTACAACAGATTTGTAAAACGTAAGTACTTTCAACCCTATTCATTTCTTCTAGTCTATTATTATCTATACAAAATCAATTTTCAATATTGATGCCAAAAAAATATTAAATACTCATGTGCTAAACAGATAAAACCACTAATGATATAGTAATAGGTGTATTATATCTAATTATTTTACGCATGTAATATCAGTTGTCAATGTAGAATATGAGGTATCATTTTAAAGAATATTTGTATATATGTGGACATTTATATTTGCAACCAACTTTAAAGAGTTCTAAAAACATACTTGTGCAAATACTTTTCTAGGTTTGGTTTTGGCATGCGTGTATGTTTGGCATTAATTTTGATTGCACTAAGTTTAAACATATACTAAGTCTTAGGTATTTAATTAAATTAAATATGGTCCTTATTAACTTAATATTAAAAACTGAATCTTTATCTAAATTAAATTATTATAGTATCTATCTATGTTTTGATACTATCTTATTCATTGTTCTTTAATATATTTTTATTGAATTTAGATTAATATTATTAGTATTTTTTAACTCAAATTTAAATTGTATGAAAAGATTACTGTTTTATAATATGTAAAAAATAAAACCCAAATAATTATGGCATTATGTTTTATATTAATAAAGTAAATTAAGTATCACTATTGGCAAATCGTACAACTGAAATACTCTGAAAAAAATCAGAAGATATGTTTAGTCTATGTTTACAATTTTTTAATTTTAGTACATTTTTTTCTTTTCAAAGTTAAAATTTAAATGGTTTTTAATCTATTTTTGTTTCAGTATATCTGTTGAAAAAGTAATAAATTAAAATTAAAATGTAATGAACGCAAGAAAATATCATATTAGGACTATAACTAGACCTTAAAAAACTTAATTTAAAGCTAAATATTATTATGACAGAAATATCAAAAAAAAAAAAAAAAAAAATTCCTACAATAAATACATTTCAGTTTTAGAAGTAATAAATACTAAATAGGTAATTGTATTTATCTTGTTATATTCATAGGTGTACGCAGGGACAATATAATATGTAGCCCCTTATACCTTTTTTTTGATTACCTATTGTTTACTTATACACTTCAGTAAATTTTACTTCTGTTTAATTATTACATTTCCACTAACAAAAAAAAAATTTTTTTATATTTTTTCTCGTATTGTACAAATCTTGCCAATTGATTAAAAAACATTTTAAATTGTTAATGTTATTAATAAAAGGTAAAATAATGAATTAAGTCATGAACATTATCAGCTTTTACTGAGATAAATTAAATTATTTTATGTTAATTGCTGTGCACATTGCTTACATCTGTCAATACTTTATTAATTCAGTTATGAATAATATTAATAACATAAACCAAGCATTATTAAATAAGTTGTTTAGAATTTGATTTATTCATTTTATTAAAAAAAAAACTTTCCATGCAATAAATAATTAATATAATTTAGGTTTGATTCCTAAAAGAATAAAACAGTTTATTATAAATCTCATTTTGCAACTAAAATTGCGCACACTTATAGCTATATTTTTAGTTAAGAACTTTGTGCTCCTGATAGAATTGTATTCTTGCTGTAATTAATGAACATTTTATTTATAATCCATTTTTACTATTAAATGACTAAATGAATTTTCTCCGATAATTTAAGTGATTTCAAAAAAATACCAGTGATGCAACCATAATTTTTCTAAGGTAAGAGGGATAGAACTGTTAGATGTGTAGAACTACAAGTCTATTATTGCTATAACAAAAAAAAATATATGTATTTAATAGTGTAAAAACCAACTACAAGAGGGACCAAAATCTAAAAAAATCCTTTTTATGTATTCATCATCCTACAGTAAAATAAATTTAATGGAAAAAATGAAAGTTTTATTTTTGAATACTTTGATGGTTAATGCCACTGAAAAATAGGGTATATATTTCAGAAGTAAATGAATCTAGTGAGATCTTAGTTTATTTAAATAAATGTATATGCTATATAGTCTATTTGGAATGAGATTGTACCTTGGCATCCGATTTCTATGCATGGGTGTGGCTTTGTTCCACAGCGCTAGCCTTACAAGCTTTTGTGAAAAAGCATCTGACTGTCGCAAACAAAAACTGGTTGCCGCCGAGGTACGATCTCATTCCAAATAGACTATAGATACATATATTTATGTTTATTTAATTAGCTCTAGTTAAATAGAAAGATTTAAATCAACAATAAATAAAATGTTTCATTATTATATTTAAAATATTAAATTATTTATTTATAATAATTAAATTATTATTGACTGAATAATTAGTGATATAGAAAAAATCTAACTGTATGATCTACTTTCTTTTATTGATATTTTTCATCATATCATTTTTAAGTATTTATATAAATTATCAATAAAATGTTTTGCTTAAAAGTAGTGCCTACCTATTTTATTTATTTAATTATCATTTTCAAACTCTAAACATTTTATTACTTAATTTATTGTCAATATATATTTAGTACAATTATTACTGTTTTTTTTTTCAGCCAAAGAAAACTAAAAATGCTCCACTAAACATCTGTCCCCTCTTAAAGAAGATGGGATATTCAACTACATACTCATCAGCTCAATAAATAACCCTTTTGGCTGTTTTGTACTTTTTTTTTATTTAGTATAACTTACAATTTAAATTTTTTATTTATACGCAATACATTTTAAACTACAATACATTTTAATTGGAAACTGAAATTATAAGGTAAATTAATTTAAATAAACTGGTAAATTATCATTAATTGTACTTATAGCTTATAAAATATTTTACAGTCATCAAAACATCAAAAGAATGTCCCACAGTCATTTTTTAACCAAAGAAAACTTTCCCAGCTTTTGCAAAAAGTTGTCTGAACTTGAGTGGACAATGGATTCAACATGTACAGAAAAACCTGAATCTTCATCCCCTGCTTATTCTTTTTTGCCAACGGCTCGAAATGTACCCAAAAGTGATTATCATCCTAAAGAATCTTACCAGCATTTCATAATCGATACTAATGAAGACAATACTTTAATTGAAAAATATCTAAAACAAGAATGTGACACTTATAAGTTGTTTAGTGGTCCACCAATTAATCCGTTATTTACTGATGAAGGACGTGGTTCTAGTATTGAAGATTCTCCAAAATCTTTTTCATATTTTTCAAAAACTAATTGCTCTTACATGGATAAAAGTATTTGGGCACAAGATTCTGGCAATGATAGCTGGCCTGATGCATTTTTGCCATTGGATATTAAAGAAGAAGCCACATGGAAAGAATTGAATACTGAAATCAGAAAGGAGCCTATGTCATGGGCAGTAATACAGCGTCCAGTCAAAGAAGATAAATTCAAACCCATTAATCAATTGGTTGATGCTGGTGCAGCAATTTTTCCAGATGGCTCACAATTCGAAATTGATTTATCGTATGAAGCATTTGATGCTGTTGAAATAGAAGGGAAATTATACATTGGTAAAGATGAATTTAGGCGCACAGATGATGGGTTGTTGTATAAAGTCTGTAACCAAGATAAAGGTAAGTTATTGTTTTATTCTCAATAAGTTATAAATAAAAATATATTTTATAATGAAAAATAAATTACATTTAGGTACTCAAACGGACAATTGGGATGACGATGAAACTGTTTTGGTAACACGTACCGCTAGACGACATTACCATTTTCCAATATTTCAGAATTGGCACACATCTCAATCAAGCGATAACCAAGATTTGTTGAGTGATTTTTTTAATCCACAGCGGGCACGTGAAGTTAGAAGTGACATGGATGATAGACCTCAAATGGTAGATATGCTTTGTAACATTATGGGTATGCAACATATATGGGATAAGCCAATTATGTATAATGAAATTGATGCTTATCCAGAACAAAATTTGTACATACCAACAAATTGCAATGAACTGGCTGCAACCTACACAATGTAAGATTTATTAATTATATTCTACATGTAATTATATAAAAAAAAATATTGATATTTATTATTAGATTGCAGTCAGATAGTGGATCAGAAAGTTCAGATGATATAGACAATAATTTTGGTATTCTATTCCGTAATTCGCGAACTTAAAAGATACATTATTGATTTTGGAGTTTGGAAGATTAAATCAACACTGTAATATTTTGTTTTGCCGTGCACCCTTTATGTTTTTTGTCAAAAAATGTTAGATTCATTAAGGTTAGGTTTTACATATTTTTCTTTGGGACAAAAAAACTATAATATTTTATATTTATATGACCCATAACATATAGTTTTGGTCAATAAGTTATGTGTTTAAATTGTATTTAAAAACAAAATAAAAAAAAAGAACAAAACGTCAAAAACCCTTAAAAAAAAAAATATATATATATATATATATGTATATATATTAAAAATAAACATACAATAATATATATTTATATCTAATGGATAGACCTAAGGCTCTAAGATATTTCCATATGGGTTATTTACTTAGGTTAAAGACATTATCCTGTTTAAATAATTTGCTTTGATTAATAATGTATTTTTTTTAATGTGTTCAAAACTGTCAAGACATTTCAAAAATTTCCCATTTTTTTATTAGTCTGGTATAGCAATATTTTGGAATTAATCAATTTTATTTGAAAAAAAAAGATAATGAAATACTGAAATGGTGAACTACCCAAAAGTTGAATAACAAAATTATTATCTAGCTATGAAGAGTACATACTCTACTCTAAAGTGAGGAACTGGACAAATAACTTTGGATTTTTTTTTTATGTGAGAATATTTTGATAAATGCAAGGTATTTTAAAATTACTTGATCTTCCAAGATTTATATCTTATTGGATCTAAATCATACCTCAAATTATTTTAAATTTATAAATATTGTGGGTTACATAACGTTTAAAAAAAAATGTATTTATTCTTGAAATTCATGACTAATCACAATTGTAAAAAAATAAATTTTCTTTTAAATCCTGGTCATAAATTTGTCCAGTTCAATTAGAAGATATCTAAAATACGGGTCCTGATTTTTTTTAAATATGGCGCCCATAATTAACTTAACATTCATATATATAAACATTTATATATATGAATGTATTTTTTAGTTTAAAGTGAAATTAAAGTTATTTTTTCTAATAAAACAGTCCGAAAACCGTTTTCGGCCCTGATTTTTAATAAAAAAGCGCCTAGAGTTTTATTTAACACTAACCTATTATTTATTTATTATTTTTTTTTTTTTTTTAATATTATTTTTATTTATTACACACAGTTAACCGAAGTGCCTTTTAAAAAATGTATAAAATTTGAATTTTTCATTATGTATAGGGGGTTAATGACTGAATCAATCGCTCTTTTGTTTGTCGGTTTAAAAACTGAATTAAATCCGATAAATACACGAATAAAATATTTATTAAAAGATGCGCACCCCTTTTTAATTATTATTTATGTATATGTTAAAATACATGTACGCCAAGACCCATATAATATACACTAATCATTTATTTTTATTGTTTATATATGTATGTGTGTATACATGTTTTATAAACATATATAGTTTTTTTACGAGGCCAAAGGAATATTGTTTTTGTGCATTTGATTTGTTAAAGTTGTTATTTATTTTAAAATGTTTTTTTAAATATATTTCGCAAGAGATGGAGCACAAAATTATAAAGAAATTTTATTTGTTATTTTATATTCTACCTTGATTTGTCTTGACAGTTTGAACAAATATTATGTTAATCAAGTTTGAATGAATCTATATAATATATAAAAAGAAGTACCTAAGAGGTCTTAAGATCTTTTTAGATTGATTATTACTAATTTATATATAAAGTGTAGGTTCATATTTTAGTTTGTGAATTTAAAGAGTTTTTTTCTCTAAAAGAATTATGTCACATTTTGATTGGGCATTAAAAAGAAATAACACAAAATATAACCACAATTTATAGAAAAATAATGCATATTATGTATATTTTTTTTTTATCTAAACTTTTTAACTATTAAATTTTTCCACTTAAATAACACAGTTCAAATATTCATAAGTTAAAAGCTACATAAATTATAATTTAATAACTGTAACATTAAAATTTTTTTTTTTTGATTAAATCAATTATATTAATATATCTCAGTTTCTCAGATGTTTAGATTCTTTGTTAGGTAGCTTGTGTAAAAACACTTATTTCTATGTGAATGTATAAACTTAATACTATATGATAAAAAATGATTAAAGGATTCAATTTTGCTGTTGAAATTGAAAATAAAAAAAATTTAAATTTATAAACCTATTTTAATTTTATAAATGACTTGTATTTGGAGTTTACACAAGGAATATCATTTTATGGAGTGTTGAGTTACACATTTTTTTTTTACTCCAATCAGTGGAATTTAATTCTTTCAACTTAGTTCCAATGTTAGATGTAAAATAGTAAAATGTAATATTTATATATCAGTATAAAATTCTAAAATTCATTTTATTTGTTTAAAAAATAGTTATCAAATGTTTCAATAAGTTACTAATAATTTCAAAAAGTAGGATTAAAATTGATTAAAATATCTTAAATTTGTTGTTTTATACATAATTATAAAAAAATTAATTTGTAGAAGGTTAAAATGTATAGAGAAAAAATTTCATTATTATATAAAATTTTTTCTGCATTCAATAATTTTTTTTTTTAGTTTTTTTTTTTTTTTTTTGTAAACAATTATTGTAAGTTTAAAGTTGAATTCATTAGTAACATAATTTATTTTTATTTGTTGTTTAATAATAAATGTTATCATATTGTAAAATATTTATCAGATGGCAAATTTTGTCAAAAAAAGAAATTTATAGTAGTTCTATAAATATCAAATCACAAAATTAATTTTGATTTAAATGAAATAGTTTTTAAATATCTGGATCATTAAGCAAAGGATAAACAATTTTCAAAAATATAATTTTGCTTGATCAATTTATTTTACAATTATAATTTCTAAAATATTATTATATTTAAAAATGTTTTCCACAAGGATTATTAATAATATATTTAGGTTGACTTCATATTATAACTGAATATTATACTATAATAATGAAAATATAATCTTTATATAATATAAATTTGATACACCTGTATAAAATATCTAGTCCAAAACATAAAATTATAATTGTATTATGTTTTAATTTAATTTCATTAAAAAAAAAATAAAAAAATAATAAGTAATATAAACTGATTTAATATAATTTTTCCAATTTTAATATTATGATATGATGTATAGTTAAATTAAAAAACTTGTAGGAGATTTTAATATTTAAATCAAACAATTAGTTTTTAATTTTAGAATGTAAAATGATATTGTCATTATCTAACAACCTAATTCTTTAATAAATACTAGTATTTATTATATTATGATATATTAACATGTATTCAAGTAAAACCACTCCTTATCCACTTGAATTGATAGATGATGTACGATGTCTGCCCATTTAGTTATTTGGTTTATTTCTACTTTTTTTTTATTATAAAGCAATGGTTTTTTTTTTGTTTTTTTTTTTTTTTTTAATGTAACATTTATTAAAAAATTAAAGTAAAAAATATTATATTACATTTAAATCATATTTTTGGCGAATTAGATACATTTTTATTTTTGAATGTATTTGATAGACATAAATAAGGATTGTTTCATGAAATATTAATATTTACAATGAAATTAATTGTTACAATTTTGATTTTAAGTTATTATGAATATATATGATGTAATCAGTTCTTATAAATCTAATTTAGTTATTTTAATTTTACACTCAATATTTAATTTTTATTTTTAAATATTCAAAATTAATTTTATTAATATTAATATTGTATGGATAAAACATTAAATATAATATATTGTACTCTATATTATGTATAATGTTTGTTGATTGGAAAATAGGTACAAGATAATTGAAATGTTCATCAAAATATTTTTGAGGTGTAAACAAAAAAAATGATTTAATAAAGTAATTTTGAACAGAGTATTATTATTTATTATATCAATAGATCCACTGAGTTAAGTTTGTAATCAGTGTCTGATAGGTCAACTGGATATTTGTAAGAACTCGACCAAGTTTACTATGGAGTTACTTACTATGATACTATCAAGTACTTCTGTATTGAACATCTGATAATTAAAATTGAAATAAATTTGAATAGTGAAAGAATATGATTTTGTATAGTACATGATAAATATCTTATGTTGAAATGAACAGCTTGTAATTTTTTCTTTGCAGGAAAGTGTCATTTTAATGTAATTTTTTTTTGTTTTAAATATTATGAACAATGATTACCTCTTATTTGTTTTGTTCTAGTAGTTAATAGTTATTAATATTATTTTTTTTTTTTAATAGATTTAATGTGTATTTATCATTTCCTTATAAATTTTAACATTGAAAAACTGAAAATAGTGATTACTTATAATTTATAAATGTTATCTTTATAAATTAAAAGTATTTAAAATTTAATATATTTAAACAGATTTAATTAAAACCTTTCTTACACTATAATACACTGTTATTTAATTACATAGGCAGGTAATAAATGATTTTTTTGTCAAGTTATTAAAAGAATCATTCATTATAATATATTTACTTATGTATCATCATTCATCATCAGTAAAATAAATTATTTTTTACGTGAAAATGGACTAGATAAATATAGTATCTATTTTTTTGGCATGTTATTAAAACTAGTTAAAAGTACAGAAGTATTTAAGTAATTCACTTAAAAATTTAAATAATTCATTTTAAATTAACTTAACAAAGAAAAAAACATCACTCGGACACACAATAAAGTTTTCCATTACACTACAAATCCAATACATACTTGGTAAATTTTTGCTCTATTTTAAACATTAAATATTCTGTAATGAGAATTCGATACGTAGATTTGATATTTATTATGCGTGTGTTACGTAAAGACAATACATGCAGGTGTAGCGATTTATTTTAAATAAAATTAGGTTTATGTTTAGGGATGGACATGGTAGGGCGAGATACTCATAAAAAGAGTGTCATGATACTTACATAATTCATGAATGTAGTGTATCTAGATCATAGGTACCAAACCTATTATGGTCCGCGAGCCATACTTGTAAGATATAAAATTATTTTAAATATTTCATCAAGGTTAGGTAGGTATATTTCATCAAAAATGATCAACTATAAACATTGTTAAAAGTACGTTACAAGGAATTTAATTGTATTTTTATTTATTCATAATCTAAATTCTTAATTGTGTGAAAAAAATTGATTCTTATTTATAAGAAAAATAGGTACCTATAAAATTTGAGGTGGTCCATGACGTATTAAAGTGCTCTAAGTGATTCATAGCACCAAAATGTTGGGAATCTGCACTGATTTAGATTCAAATTATGATACTTAGGTTAGGTTAGGTTAAGTTAAGTATTTTTTCGACAGATGTGTAATTGTTTAAGTTATGCAATGGTCAATGATTTGATATGTATAATGAGTAATTAATTGAAGTTTAAAAAATTAATAAATCATATTATTTTTAGTTAGAAATTTTTAAAAAACATATCTTGTGCCTAAGATTTGAAAACGTAACTCGAGGTTTTTCAACCTATATAAGTAAACAAATTCTTTGAGAAAACCAAATCAATTTTTAACGTGCATCTGAAGTTTAATTTTTTCGACATAGTATATTGACCCGTAAAAAATTATTTTTTTTCAAACAATTTTTGATATTTTGTTCTATTATTTATAATAATAATAATAAAAAAAAATAGATACCTATATAAAATGTTCATTAAATATTTAGTTATATTATTTTAACGATTGCCGTCTATCGAAATGATACATTGCCCCTTAGGTAGAAATGGCTAATTTGCTGAGTGTAAAGAATATAGCGAGTGGGTCCGACTGTATACTTAAAGTTTTTTTGGCACGTGTTGTGGTGTATAAAAATGGCTGATGCGTGTTTAGCGGAAGTTTGACACGAATAGAAACACGACAGTGGCGAGGACTGCGACGATCCACACAGCCATCAACGAACATCCACACTCGCGGCGTGTCGACACACCATATTTAAATCAGTATTTTTATAAATTATATTCTTTATTCATTATTATATATTTATACATACTATTTGTTTTGTATCAATGTATGATTGAATACAGCAGGGTATTAACGAAATTAAAGTTAACTTGGGGGAGTAGGTTGTGTAGGGAAAATTTACACATTATTTTTATTAAATTTTGTTGAATGATTTATTGTTGATATCTTACTATATCGTATATTCGTATGTGACACTGTAAGCGTTATACATATTTTCTATATGCGGTGGTATTTTATTATTATTAATTTTTCTTATAATTATATATTATAATGAATTGCATCGGGAGGTCGAGCAATAATTGTTAATGTTTAAATTTTAAATTAAAAAAAAAAAAAAAACACTAGTGGAAGGTAGGTACATTGCAGTATTGCATGATTTGCATTGATGTCCGAATGTGGAAGTTTAAATTTTTTGAATGTTTTTGATATCATTAATGTATCTTAATTATTTTTAAATAAAACTATTTTCAGCTGATCTCCCTTATAATGGCCTCACTTCATAAAATCGAAAAATTATGGTTTTATAAAATAGATACATTATTAAGTATAATAGGTATAAGTTTAATACTATTTATACTAGTATATAGCCATTCAGGGGCGGACTGGGTTAATATTTCAGGCCGGGAATTTTTTTTTGCCAGGCCAAAAATTAATAGAAGACCAACAATTTGGTCATAAGTATATAAAAAAAATAATAACGATAAAAAATGTATTTAAAAAATATTTTCAACATTTTATGTAGATATAAACAATTACACATAATATATACGATACTTTTTTATTGATACAGTGTACACATTTTAATATAATACCTATATATTAAAATTAATTCTTAAAGTTATTCTTTTTTTACATAATTAGGTTTTTTCTCATAACTTCACTAGTTTCCCCGATTCTGTCTATTAAAATATCGTCATCTATAGAAGCTAATGTTCGCTTTTCCACGGACATCAACATAAAGGCTTCCAAATTCTCATTAGTTAGAGTATTTCGTAATCGATTTTTTATGAATTTGAGTGTTGAAAATGACCTTTCACATGCTACTTGTGTTACCGGTAGTGTTAAAAGATAATTATAAGCCAAAGATAAATTTGTATACGCATTACTATACAAATTGTATTTGACTAATAACTTCAAGCAGCAACAAGCACAATTTTTGCATGTTTTACAGGTCATATTTAATCTGGAAGTTTCTTCAATTTCTTGGTATTCATCTTCAGAATCGAAATTTTCAAAATCATATTCGTCTTCAACTGATTTTTTTAAATTATCCCAATTATTACCAAAACTTACTAATTCTTCTCTTAATTTTTGATGAAATTCTTCCAAATTATCATTGACTGTAAATCGGATTAAATTTTTAGAGAAAACTTTCAAGGCTGTTTTTGGTAAACCATGTTTAAAACTATCGAAGTTGACTGGGGATAGAAGCGATAAATCCATGTATAATGGACTATTGTTCACAAATCTTGAATTCATACTTTCAACTATTCTATCCATTACCTGATTATGAACTTCAACAGTATATTTTTGTTTTGCGTCATTAATTGGGTCATCGTTTAATAATTCATCAGTCATTCGTTTTTTTTTTCCTTAATCGTTTGATTTCGAATTGTTCTTGAAGATAAATTTCATTATCCAAATCTTGCAATTCTAGTTGATTATTTACCCATTCGACAAATTTATCACTTTTAGCTATTATATTTTCCATATCTCTTTGGTACTTAACTATTTGACTCAGAGCAGATTTTACCATTTGTTGACATTTCAGAAGGTCTAATCCACTGGTTTGTAGATATCTAGATAGTGGGCCCGTTATACTAAAAACATTCATAAATATGTGTGCCGTCAAAATAGTCTCATATTTTAATAGTAAATCTAAATAATGTTTTGCTTTTGATCTTATATCAGGTTTAAATTTTTCCTCTTGAACAACTTTAGTGAAAGCAATTATCAAGTCTACATACATAGAACTTTTTGGATCTCCAAATGTTCCAAAAATTCTCTCAACAGCAGTCTGTTTTGATGACCATCTAGTTTCCCCAATGGTTTGAAGACGCTTATTTCGACTGTTATCTGAATTTGCTTTGCTAACTTCATTCCAAATATCCATCCTCAAATATGATTCTTTGAAAAATACTGCACAACTATTTAATAAAGTAAAAAATGATGCTACTTGGACAGGATTTTTTGTTGCATCGCAAATAACAAGATTTAAAACGTGACTATGACACCAAACATGAACTTGTTCAGGTGATAATTTACTTAAATGTGAAGTAAAACCATTATAAACTCCTCGCATATTGGACGCTCCATCAGTAGAATTTCCTATACATTTCGTTAAATCCAAACCAACAGAAATCAATTCTTCTTTTAGCAGTTGAGCCATACCTTTACCACTTGAATTATGAACACACTTAACAGCTATTAATTTTTCATTAATTGTATCATGAAAAACGTATCTAATAACTATTGAACATTGATCCATTACTGAAACATCTTGGGTAGTATCAATAAGAACAGAAAAGAATGAAGCATTTTGGACTTCGGTAGCAATTGTACGTTTAATATTTGATGCTATTTCATTTATAACGACTTGGACCGTATTTTTGGATAAAAAAGTTAAAAAGCTTCCACGGCCTTTCTTATTTTGTTTTTGTTTCTTTTCACTTTTATTGATGATAGTATTGAAGTGATCGCAAATGATAGGATCATATTTACTGAGCAATATCATTATTTCCAAAAAATTTCCATGGTCTAAATTATGATCGTTCAAAGAGTATGCTGCTTCATTTCTTTTACCTCTATAGCTTAGACCTCGTTTTCCAATTAACTTTATAACAGCGATAATTCTTTCAAAAATTTGTCGATTTTTTTTTATATTTTGTTTTTTTATATTTTGTAAATTTGAAAATAACAGTGAATCTATATCTTTGTTTTGAGTTTTTAAGAAATAAGATTCGGAAGAGCGTGAATGAACTATGCTACTTTCATGCTCCTTGATTCGTTGATTAACATGTTTCCAATCAGATACCCCCTTAGTAAATGAATTCGATTCAGAAGCAAAAGCTAAACAAACTGAACAAAATAGTTGTTTTGATGATTCATCAAATGTTAGCCATATACGATTTGTTCCATTTTCTCGAAGAAAAATCTTATTTGAATTGAATGGGAGGCTAGGATCTTTTGGTTGACAAGGGTGATACTTGAAAAAATGAGATAAAACAGTTGAACTTGGCTTTATGAACTTATTAAATACTACTAGAGGACTTTCAGATGTCAAACATAGAACTTCTAAAAAAAAGTACAAATTTCATACAATCATATCAAGTTCATATATTATATCGTTATTAAATAAAAAATTGTTAAAATACCTAGCCAAATATATCAAAATAATATTTTTATAAATACAAAAATAATAAATAATAATTCATAATACATATTAGTTATTAATTACTTTAATTCTCTTCCCACCATATCACGCCGCTACGACGGGTTAATATTACATACTAATTTAGCTTACTGCTTACACATTAATTTGTTAGTATTTATTTTTTGTCATTAAAATGTTTCACTCGTATGATGACTATGGTAATAGCTACTTACCAGAATTAGAAACAATTACGTCATCATTTTCGGACATTGATATGTTTTCAATATTTTCATGGATGGAAATACCTATCAATATTTTCAAAGACAATCATATAAAAATCATAAATAGGAAAAAGAAATCAATAAACATTATTAAATTATTTAAATTTACTAAATAATACATATATGCATACCTGAGCTTAGTTCTTCAGTTTTAACGGGATTTTGTTTTTCATAATATGCTGAATTAAAAAATGAATTAATTTTTTTACAATTCTTGCTCGAGTCTAAAAGAAGTTTTTTATTTTTTTCACGTTCTCTAGCAGCACCGCCAGCACGTTTTTTATCCTCCGAATTCATTTTAAATATTTAACAAATTCAAAACACCTTTGTGGAAGACGCTAATGTACAATGTATTTATAATATTATAGTATAAGTAAAAACAATACAGTAACTATAATATTGTATAGTATTATAGTCGCATTTAACGATTTAACGCAAACAAAATAAAATAAAATACGAAACCTATTTACATTACATTACAGCAATGTTATTGCTACTGCGGACTGCGATAAGTGCGAGTATCAGTGTCTTGTGTGCCGTATGATGGCGGCGTTATTATTAGTTATGAAAATTGACAAGTATAAATATAATAATATAATAACTTATAATTTATAAATAAATCACTAAACTAGCTGTTTGGCTTATATTTTATATTTATATCTGTATATATATTTCGTACATGGGTACAAACTACAGACACATCGTGTAAATTGTTTAAACGAAATATAGCTTATAGAGCTAATAATAGCTTATCGAGAATACACTGGATCACTTAATAATAATATTATAGTACTATAATATAGTATTATAATATAATACTTAAAATCACACGAGCTGATAAAGTAATACCTATTTATGCATTATATTAATTATATTTTTATGTTTTTTCGTATACTGTATATTTTTAACTCCTAAAATATTCTCAGGCCATTTAATCCATTATTGTAACAGGCCACCGGGATTTGTCCCGGTGTCCCGCCAGGCCAGTCCGCCCCTGTAGCCATTTTAGTAATAAGTAAATAATTAAATAAGTAAGTACCTGTATCTAATATAGATATTATTAATTAGAGTAGTATACATGTTAATTAAATGGTTAATATAATAATTTAAGATTTATAGCTAATCATAATTATTAGAAATAATCAAATGGTTTTATTTTGTATTTTCTGCAGTGATCTTGTTTTCAAATAATCGTTACATATATCTAGGTATTTCCAAATTTTAAATCATGCGTCTCACATCCTTTACGTCCTTAGCGTCACGATCTTTTGTTCCATCAATGGTGGTTTATAGACGTTGTATAATACACGATTATGTTAATAATTGAATAAATAAGAAAAAAAAATATATATCCTGTTTCCTTTTCTCGATTCTAAAGTTGCAGTGTTACTGCGGTAATTACACCGGATGCAATAAAATTAGCTTATAATTTCGATATAACAATAGATTTCTAATTTTCTTATAGGTAGTCTGGGTTTCCTAATCGATTTGCCACGATTTAGGCACCTGCAGTACGGCCGCATAGGTCGTTGATCTATATATATATGAAAACAAGAAATAGGTATAATTAATTATATTTATGTACAGCCATCGCTCAACGTGTATAATTTTCGAGAAACGAAAAGGATACTTATAATTAACAATAAGAATTATGAATAATTCTTTAAATTAGACACTGCACAACGTATAGCCATACCTATTATTTTTTTTTTATAGTGTACGTAAGTCTATAGCACTTGTAGAAATAATTTTATTTTAATTTAACCTATTATTTGTGTTTCGATTATTAAACATTTATGACTAAAATCGTATGGACATCTAATGAGATATTTCCATTCAGGATTTTTATCGGAAATATACGTCATAAATGCTATTATAATTTAATGGTATTAATTATTACATTAACGTAAGTATGTTATTATTATTTACCATAGTTCAAGACTTAAAGTACCAAAACTCGTCAAAATAAACACGAAGACAAACAAAAAAATCCGTTTTTTTCCCATATCATTTTCATTAATCAATCTACTTCAAAATACGAGTCAAATAATTGTCTTTCAACATTTAAAACTTATTAAAAAATAAAAAAATAAATAGATCAGATTTTATAATCAGAAAATGTTGACACTTATTGACTAGGTACTCGTAGAATAATTTTTCAACAATCAGAATAATTTTAAAAGTGATTATATTATTTTGTATTGTAACTTTAAAAATATTAAATAATCAAAGTTATCTATCCTCAATTTATAATGACTACTAAATTTTAAAAGAATAATTTATTATTGTTGAATATTTGGATATAAATGTATAATTTATTATGAAATTTAAACCAATTATTTAATAAAAGTGTCAAAAATAGAATAATTTAATGACTTATTTTATCAAAATTTTAAATACATAAATTCTATTAAATTGGAATAATAATATAACATAAAAAAAATTTTGAAATCACTAGTCATTGCTCTATCAAATGTCTTAATTTATCGAAAAATACTATTCTAATAGTAACTTAAAAATTAATATATAATTATAATTATACTGTATGAATTATGATATTTTACATTAAATTAGATATGTATTATATGACACTAACAACTTCAACACATATACATGTTTTTACATTTTTTTTACATGAATATCCAATGATTATTTAGATTTACTTATGATTATACATAGTCTGTGCTTGTGCAAAGAAAAATATTAATTATTAGATCCCAAACAATTTTTTGTGGATGGAAAACTCAATATGATATTAACGGAATATAAATATTATTTGTAATGGAGTACCTACTAAAAATTGGGATCCTATCATTAAGAGGACGCCACACTCACATGTGTTGTCTCCGTCTTACTGAAATACTCTTATATACATATTACATACAAATAAAATATAGCAAATTTTCGTTTAGCAAAATACATTTTATGTTGTTAGCTTTAACATTAATGTAAATTTACTCATTATCAAACTCAAAGGTAAGAATTTTTTTTAGGCAATCATATAAGCTTTTATTAATATTATAATTTTAAAGTGAGTTATGAGCATTTTAAAGTTTTAATATTTTAGACGGCTATAACTCAATTTAAAATTAAAATATCATTAAAAGCCTAAGTGATAGCCTAGATAAAATTCTTAACTTGAAGTTTGATAGTAGGTACTAGGTAAATTTACTCTAATGTTAGAGTTAACAACATAAAATGGATTCTGCTGAACGAAAATTTGTTATGTTGTACGACGGAGATAAGACAAGCGGGTGCAGCGTCTTCTTGTGCATTTTAGTAGATACTTATAGGTTAATATAGTTATCTCTCTCATATTCCCCATTTATGTTAATAATAGTTATAATTCCAAAACCTGACAACCTCCTCTCCGACCTATTCTCTTCTTATCGATCTATCAGTCTTTAACATATTCGTGGACAGCTACTGCTATAGTGCTATAGTAGTAGAATTTAAATCATTAAAAAATATTGTACTGTTATAGCAGTAATAATTTCAATGGCTTTATATGAAAGATCATATTTTATTGTCCCACTGCAACAATTCAGTACATTGAGCACTGTACTAAATATGAGTTATTTTTAGCTTTACATATTGAACCTTTTTCTTGGGTATTTACATGGACCCTGTATTCTATATCATTATTATTACTAGTAATATATAAGCTAAATTATTTAGCCTAAATCATTTGTTATACAAAATAAACCAGGTTGAGTTGAATTATTCTTTTTATTTTACTATTTTTTGTTTTATTGTTTAAAAAATATAATTATACTGCTGTAGCAGTACAGTGATGTACGTAGTTGGTAAATAACAATGTAGTGGTAATGGTATTTAAATACGTTTCTGAAAATAGTTTTTTCCCCTCCAAAAATTTCAACTGTCCACAAATAATACTAATATAAATCAATCCTATATTAAGAAGCCAAAACATAATCTACAGCACTCAATTAAGATTTAAAAATAAACATTCGTCACTTCATTAAGTTCACAGAATAATCGATATTTTATTACAAACACTTGAAAATAAACATTTTTTCACGGGTGTTTTTCTTGATGTAGCCCAGACGTTTAACCACGTCTGACACAAAGGTTTACTTTATAAAATTCGCTTTCTACCGGTCCCCTTACTTTTAATAAAACAATATTTCCTAGATCGTTCCTTTGTTATTCGTTGTGAAGACGAACTTTCATAAATCTACTTTATATAAGCAAGTGTTCCTCTAGGAAGTAGATTAGCTCCCACACTATAAAACACATTTACATCTAATATTCCACACTCTGACAACATCGCTCTTGTTACCTTCGTTGATGATACAGGTATAATTTCAACTAATATCGACCTAATCATAAATTCTTTTGCATATCAAACCACCTTATTGAACTTCAAAACTGATTCAATGTATGGAGAATTAAAATAAATCCGAATAACAAATCAGCACGTGTAACTTTTTTCCTACATTCAGATCTTAGCCTTTTCCCCATGATTCTCAATAATGAAATGATTTTCCTGACAAAATTTACCAGTTACCTTGACAATAAACTCGATTAGGTTAAACCTCTTTCTGATCAAATTCTAATTTTGACATCTCTCGTGTTCTCATTTTATTTTGGCTCCTTATACTCTTGCATACGTCGATTTTATCTAAAGACAGCTCTATAATTTACATCAGTGTCTATAAAATCACGGTAATTTTGAATTTAGAAAAAGGCTCACCACATTAAAAAAAATTAACAAAACAAAAAACAATCATCAAATAGTTTGTAAATAGTATTTTGTATTAAACACCATATGTGTGATATGGCGTTACGCATAGGCAATATAGGTACATTGCTGTGCGTTTTTAGTGAATTATCATAAATCAATAATATTAAATGTATAAATAAATACTAAATTTATGGTTTCCATTTACAGTATATTAATATAAATTATAATAATTTAAAATAATTACAAAAGTAAAACTTTTATTTTTTACTACATATTGCTTAACATTAATCAACTCATCTTTGTAAGGTTTAACTGAAGGTCAACTCGGTCAAATCTTGTCCACGATTTCCTAGTACATATCATATATATTTTTATATACATGAATGTTTCTTTATTAACTTACCCTCTAAATTCAAAACATACCGGACCATTTTCAGTGAAATGTAAATAAACGGATTATAGAATGGTTCACACATAAATTTATTTTAGCTCACAAAAATCACTTATTTTTTGTTTATTTAAATGGTTACTATTGATTGGTTATAGATCATATTACTATTATAATTAAGTAAAATTAGATGCCATATACAAATATTTACAAATAAATTAAAACCAAATAGGTAGGTATTTATATAGTTATAAAAAACACTATTATAATGATTACTTTTATGATTTGCAATCATGATTTGATTTCTTGATTCGAGACATATTTTTTATGAAAATATATTTAAACTAATAAATATATTAAAAATGTGAAGAAATCGATGAAGAGTACAGTAAATAGATGGAAAGCGTATTAGTATTTAATTTCGTTGAAATACAGAGAAAATAGGTTATTCAAAGGAATAAGAACTATTTTTAAAATTTTTAACAAAGAATAATTGATTAATATTAAACAGCCGTAAAACAGGTAATTAAATTTTATACTTAGAGTATGATATATAAGCATGTGTTTGTTATAATTTTGCAGTCACATCACTTATAGCAATGCCTGTGAATAAAAATGAAAATGGCGTCTTCTAAAAGGTTATAACTTCAAAAATAAGCTCTAAGCTTAAAATATTTCGAATAGTATCATTATTTTTAAATCGTATATGTCTAATTTTTCTACGTCCCTTATTTTTACGCGTCATCAAGTGAATTGTAAGCTGTAACGTTTCCATTTTTTTTTTTTTTTTTGTGTTGAGTAGGAAAACTTAGAAGTTTCATTCAATTTACCCATTTATTTACTAAAAAATAAATATCGTAATATAAATATAATAAATATATATTTTTGTTCGAAATTCTAAATAATTCCAATAATACAATAGATAACAGTTAACAATTAAACTATAACACTAAAATACAAGTTATTTTTATCATTTTTATTCCATTTACTAGTTCACTATATCATTTCTAATTATTAAGTACACACTTGCACTAGTGGACTACTTAAATGATTGTCATTAAATAATTGTTGTGTTTAATGTTCAACAGTTAGAGAATTCGAGTACTTACAAATTTTTATCATGATTTTTGTTTAAATTTAAAAATCAACTGGTTAAATAGTCTAAATGTTTAATTATTGTTAATTTATTTGTACATATTAGATCATAAATATTTTAAGCTACTTAAAATTTTAAAATTTAAAACAACTCTTGTAAAGTTGTAAAGTTAAGTATTTCATTTTTGTAATGTTCAAATTTCACATACGAGTTTTGTGCGAAATTCGTCGAGTGTGTTCCGAAATGACTAAATGTTTAACGTTCCGAGTACGTTCGAGATAAGGTATCATCCGAATGCATCTCAAGAAAAATCGTTCATAATTTTGTCACGTTTCCATCTATAAACATTATTTTATTACCTACCTAAATTAATTTTTATTTTTTTCCGAGCATTTTATTCTAAAACCGTAGGAACTTATGGAAGTACCGTGTATCGTAAATGTTCAACCCGACGATTGTCTATTATGAATTATGATAGGGTGTCAACATAATATTATATTATTATGGCAGTTTAATAATAATATTATGAATACGACACGGTATGCGAGTTGTTTTGTTTATGTCGAAGACAGTTTGCGGCGACAGTGACCCACACGAGAAAAACAGCTGTGAGCCGGGAGGAACGCACGCGCGACCGCGCGTGCGCATCAGTCGAACCGGTCGCCCCGCGCGAAGTGCCGCTGCCAAAGACCACCTCGGGCGCACGGACTGTAGTGGCGTAGTAACTAGTAAGTCGAGTGCGCAAGTAGTCGGCGGTCGGTCACCATTGGTGACGCTCTCGAATAGTTTATGCGCGTGTGTTTACCCGACTCCACCGCTCTCGCGAGTAAACGCATTATAGCACGACCGTTTTTATCAAAATAATTTTTTTCCCGCCGTTTGCCGTTCCAACTCGCAAGATCACGAATACAAAAATCACATACGTACGCTTATCGTCGGGATTATAAGTTAATAATTTTATTCGCGTAAGTAAAATTTATTTATACGTATATATGTTTGGTATTATTATTATTACTATTTATCAACATCGAACCCATATTAACCGGCGCACATTACTAGCTCTACGAATCAGAGGAAAACTAATCGTAAATCCTCGAAAATCCAAATGTATTGATATTATTTCCAATCTCTGTGCTTTATGATATCGATTAACCCATTTACTACATCATATACAGTGTATTTATTATGTTATTTGTGTATTATATTTAAGATATCTTCCTAATACGTATTATAGTGTAATATTGTGGATTGCGCTAGATATCTACTGGTGAAAAACGCAGGTAATACAAGATAGTTTTATTATAAAACTTTTACATTTTTATTATGGGGAAATTATGTGTTTTGTTATGGAAAAACAGATACCCGCACGAGATCTGGGTAAACGATAGTAATCATTTCAAAGCGGATCGGGATTTATGTGCAATAAATATTTTCTTCCATGGCAATAAAAATAATTTTAATATGTGTATTGAATGTATTTTATTTTTCTAAATGTTCAACGGTTTTAAGTAATTAATAAATATTGTTTATAGTATTTGATATTGTATATACCTATTATCAGTATTGAATCCAGACAATTTCTCTGGGGGTTCATTTTTTTTCATTGATGAATGATGATACATTTTAGTAATATGAATTATACCTATTATTAGTTATTACAATTTACAATTAAGACATTTTGAGAAAGTCAGTAGACAGTATCTATACTGGCAATACGGTATAAAAACATTGATACAAATAAATTATATTTTATTTAATACCATTAGGTGTGGTAATCGTAACGAGTATTGTGCATTTGTTAATTTAATAAATAGGTACATTTTGTTGAAAGTTATATTTGTCAGGGGGCAAATCCCCTTTTGAAGTATACCTGGATTCAAAACTGCTTATGATCGATTGTTTATTAAACCATGTAATATTGTGGTAAATTTAAAAAGTCGGGTTTTTCACCTTTGAGTATAATATTATGCTTGTTTACGAATGAAAATCAGTTTGGTCACGTTTCTCGCAAATAAATAAATTTATTTTATTGTTTATCAAAGTTTTTAAAAATATTTTACGTTGACAACTTTTCCCTCGATACCACTCTATTAAACACTGCAAAACTAAAATAATTTATTATCCGATCGTTTTTATTCGTACTTTTAAATCCATGATTGATGACGAACGATAGTACGACATTGCTTGTATACAAATGATTTGTTTAGATGAATTTCTATCAGTGGATACATTTAAACAATTGATAAGAAATGCTTTATTTATGTTAAAGTTATAAATTATTTTAATTTTAATAACATAGAAAATATCTTATAAACTTAAAATATGACATAGGTGTAATTGGAAATTGCAATAAAAAATGGTATATAATATTAATAGTCAATATTTTTTAAGTATACTTTTTTTGTACATATATGTATGTATTTTGTATAATTAAAAAACAAAATCGTTATAAAACCTCGAAAATATCAATAAATAAATTCTTTTAAGTATATGGTAAAAACGTTTTCTAATATAGGTATATAGTATATCAATCAATTTATAAAAAATTGGCATTCCCGTGCACTTACTTGCTTTTCTGTTTTGGTGTATAGTCGTATATAGATAATGTTTTCGACATATCAATTTTACATAGTTGGTTCCGCCCTGCGTTGCTTTTTTTTGACCATTTATAGCAGCATTTTTTAAGAATTATTTAATTTTTTTAATTTATTTTGAAAGATTTAAATTTTATTTCCTTTTTTTCTGGATCAAAAATCAATAACTCAAAGTTATAATTGTATGAATCAAAAACAACGCAAAAATTATATTATATAATATTGTATTGTACTGTTATAATGTAACAACTATTCATTAAAATATTAATTTTGGTAGCTAACGAATGATAAAAAAATAATATCTTTATGTGAGTAATTGCCGATCATTTAAAAATTAAATAATTCAATTTGTCACCAACTTTTAGAATTAGAAGTAGGCTTAAAACCTGCTATGCGATTTACTCTTTCATAAAAAAAAAAATCAAGATAATCGAATTAGTGGTTTCGGAGAACACGTGTGACAAAGATTTCTATTTTTACATTTATATATATATATATATATATATATCAATGTATCAAAATTTATTTTATGTATATAGATTGTCGATTAGTTTAATTATTTATTTATATAATATTCATGCAATTGAAATATTTTAAATTAAAAATTTTTAATATTTGAATGTATATGTAATTTATATAGACATTAGAAATATATTGTAGTACCTACTTTTGTTTCTATTATTTACTTCTTCCAATTTAATATGGTTACCAGCTATAACAGTATGAAAAAAATGTCGATCTATTGAAATAACGGAACCTAATTTGCTAAATTGGGAACAAAATAACAAGTCGATTACAATTTTTAAGATTTATGTAAAAATGAAACAATTCGAATCCTTATGTTATTGTCATTGATTCGAATAACTGGTTTAGAAATTTAAAACTATTAACATTTAACGGTGATTGATTGTGGTTAATTGCGTCGGGTATAAATGTTCTATTTGGAAATATGAGACGATATAACTTGTACAACTTACAGGTACTATTAAATTGGTATCAAAATGTTTACCTATTCAATATTTCATCATCAGTCATCTCTATGTCCGTGTTTAATGTTCTTAGTTGGTTATTAATAATTTTTACAGTAGTATATTAAATATATGTATAAAGTATGTGTCTTCAAGGTAGGTTTAGGTTTAAATTTTTAGTTAGATGCAGTGCGGAAATCCTATTGGTATATAAATTCGTTTGCGGAAAATCCACTATCGAGTGGGTCATGATGTCTTCAATGATATATCTAAAAACTTAATTGTGCGTGATTTTATTATAATAAATAGGTGTGTGTATACTGTATAGAGTTACAAAGGATTTATTCCCTTATAAATTCCCTATTGAGTGGGGGAAAACGCGCGTGTACTGGGTCATACTTGTACTTTTGGGTGACCGGTTTTACCGCAACATTAACATAATGTAGAGATGAAACGAACGGAATTGTGCAGTCCCCATGGAATGACATTTGGCTGCTGAAAATACTGGTTTGCAAACGAGGCACCGGTCCTCCCGTTTTGGAAGTCCGGCGGATACATTAACGTGTATAATGTATATAACACATTTAAACGGCTGCATAAAAAATATATGTTTTTACAAATCTTTATATTCCAGTAGGAACGTCAAGTAAAAATACATACATATAAACTTACGATTTGACCTTACGAGGCCACCGACGCCGTCACCATATTCCAATCACATAAGACACGCGTCGGAACTGCGCGGGTAGACAAGACATATTCGTACATAATAAATGTGTTTCCTCAAAGGCTTTTTATTTCACTTAAGCTGATATTGTAACCAATAACCTATATTATATGTTACTGTCTACCGAGAAAAAAATATTAAAATATGTAAAAAAATATTTAGCTGTCGATTGTATTATAATATTACGTTTTGATTGTAGACATGAGTTTTGTAATTTGAAGTAGGTAGTAAATCAGATATTTAAGATACAAGAATGTTACTTGGATTTTTAATCGTTAAATTCTGATTTTTGACAATCGAATAACCGTGGTCATCAAAGTAGATTAAAACATTTGTATTATATTATTTATTATCATTTGAAAACCAATGATTACATTTTATTATGCCGATATAGGAGGTATTCGTCTTTTTTTCTATTTAGTATTGCGGTGTTTAATATAAAAATAATGTGATATGTGGGAAGTTATGACCATAATATTAAATATGCACCCTATTTATTAAAATATTATCGTACATACTTTTTAAAATATTGTTAATATGTCTTGTAAAATAAATATTTATACGTTGCACTACCGCTATTTTATTTTTCGTACATGTAAATTGTGTACTCAGTATTGTTCTATTTAGTGTTAACGATATATTCCAATATAAATATAGGAAGTAGATACCTACATAAATCTGATAAATTTTCGTTCTAATTTATAATCTACTTATTTAAATTAATGTTTAAAAAATTTGATCGGAGGAGTTTCTTTGCTATATACATAGTAGGTTTCTAGTGTATCTTGTCATTGAGTAGAGGTCACTGTGATGGATGTATTAAATTTGAATTCAATGATAAATCGTTAGGTTATCAATCGTTGTATACAAAAAACAATTCTGATCGATGACAATATTAGTCTATATTTTTAAAGATATTTTATTACATATTTATAGTGTTAAACTATTTATTAGTAATTTATTTTTCTGTTAGTAATACGGTAGGTTGAACTAAATTTTTCCAAAAAAAATTTCACCTATTATATAATAAATTTGTTAACGTTATTAATATTAACGTCCCTACTATAACGAATAACTTTAGATAATTAAATTCTTTACCAAATGTTTCCTTTAACGTTTCCTGCACTTACTATAATTAAATGTTTTGGATTAGATATATATAGAATTTTGAAATTTTCCTTATTTTTATTTATAACTTTTTTTTTTTATAAAATTTAATATAATAAAAATTATTCCCTGGATAAAAATGCTTATACATTTTTAAATTTTAATACAAGATTCCTCATATGTTTTTTATCAAAATATTTTCGTATAACTTATGAGTGTTAAAATTTAGAATTTCGACAAATTTTATAATAGGTCGACAATTTTTAAATTATTTTTTGTAGTTCAAAATTCATAAAAAATTTTCTTCTAAAATTTGAAAATTAAATACTAGTTTCTCTATGAACTTTTTAATCTATGAAAAAATAAATTTTTTACCAGAAAATCAAATTTTTTTTTGAGCATTCTAAGTTAAAATTATTACGACATTGCATATTTATCTCGTAAAATAACTATTTCTCCTTATACAATTTAAGGCATTTTGTTGTAACTTAAAAAACAAATTACTGTAAATAACTGAAATTTTTACTGTATACTTAGATGATAATTTTCTATACAATTCATAATACAAT